TATACATTTATTGACCAAGTTCGAGGGCAACATGCAATTTGTCGGACCCAAAACCAAACTGTCTGCCTGAGGCTATTAAACTGAATGCAGACAGTTTGGTTTGACAGTCGACAAAACGCATTTTGCCCAAGAAAATACTCAATAAATGTTTTGACTTTTGTTATACCTTTTATGTTAATTTTTTTTATGTATTTTGTACTGTCTCCCATGCTGTAAACACACATTGTTATACACCAACAAATGAAAATGAGATTATAAGTTCCACCCATTCTGTGTTGTAAGCAGTCCAACATCTCATCCACCAGTCCAATATCTCACTCTGTGGACAAATATAGATTTTGTTATGCCCACTAAGCAAAACATTGGAAATTTTAGCTTTGTTTGGCATAGATTTGTATAGGAATATATTTTAAAAGGTATAACAATACAATGTTTAAAATCTTTAAATTTAATAATACAGTTAGATTTACCTCTGCTTACAGCTGCAAACTGCAAATGATGAAGAACTATCTCTTTCGATGGATTGGTTGGTAGAACAAGGAGTGTATGGTATCATTCCACCATACACAGAACAAAAGAGAGACGCTATGATGAGACAGCTGTTGAAGAGTCAAGTTTATCTAAGGTGATTTTTAATTATATCATTTTTTTATTTTGATACAAATACATTGTATTTCATACACCTGTCAAAGCAATATCTCTTTTAAAACAACAATGAAATGAAGGAATTTTTTTTATTGCAAATATACTGGTAATTATTAGGGCCCCGCTTGGCGGGCACCCTGTAGTGATCAGTCTGTCCGTAGGGCTGTCCGACCATCCAAGATCTCTTGTCTAAAGCACATCTTCTCTCTCCTAGCTTGGCCCAATCTGGCTCACACTTAACCATAGAGTGCCTTTGGGTAACCAGTGTGCAGTGACATGGAACCATGTTTCTTGGTCAAAGGTCAAGGTCATAGCAGAATTATATGAAAAATCCTTGTCAGGAGCAAATCTTCTCTCTCCTTGACCCAATCTGGCTCTCATTTCACTCACAGAGTGCCACTGGTCAATAGATGTGCAAATTTCTAGGTCATTGCAAGAATTAGCCTGTCTGTTTAAAATATTTTTTGGTGCATAATTTTTTTTCCCTTAATTCCAGTAAATTTATGTAACTGAGGATACAAGATAACTTTGATATATATATATATATATATATATATATATATATATATATATATATATATATATATATATATATATATATATATATATATATATATATATATATATATATATATATATATATATATATATATATATATATATATATATATATATATATATATATATATATATATATGTGTGTGTGTGTAAATTTGCAATATCCGTTGAAATCGTACTAAATTACTTTCACTGTAGTACACAAATGTTCCTCATCAAATAAACCCTTTTAAGCTACCTTACATTTTCATGTTCATTGTTGAAAGCGGGGCCCTTTGAGATGGCCACCATCTCAATGATATCTACTTACATTTACTATCACTATTTCTTTTAAGAATTCATGCAGAAATTGCACAGTTCAGCCTGGGATTGAACAGTTTAGGGTTCTACACGCTTATGAAGAGCAATTCTGAGGAAATAAGGGGACTTTTTCTTCACACTTTGTCCAACAGCGTAGTAACCATGCAAGCAATGAAAGAAATTATACAGATTAACTACAGTCAAGATGGATCAAATGACAAAAAGAGAGAAGAAGATACAATGTATACTTTTGAACTTTCATGCAAGACTGTTCAGGTAAAGACTTAAGTACATGTATGTATATCTGTGAAGTGATAAAAGTTCATGGATGCAATAAGAAAATGCTAATGTACCATAATTTTACTCTCAATTTCTTAAATATTATTGAAGTCAGAGATTGTTTTATGGGATGGAATCTATATGCTCAAGGACTAAGTACAGCTATTGTTCCTTTTATATCCCTGTTCCGAAGGAGAGGCCGGGCAAATACTGTTTTACCTGTGTGTGTGTGTGTCTGTCCATATTAAATATTTATCATAGTTTTCTCAGCAACTACTGATCGCAGATGCTTGAAATTTTTAGCGTTTTCTTTGCTGATGCATGTCTGAGGGCAATAATGGGATTCATTTTTGTTCAAATCTGATGTCAACTTCCTGTTTATCTGTGCATCTGCCCATACCATACAATTAGCAATTTTTTTTCATTTTCTCAGCAACTACTCATACCAGATTCTTGAAATTTTAGCACGTACTTTGTTTAGGCATTGTCATATTGTGGGTTCATTTTTGTATGAATCTGATTCTGAATTCTCTATTTATCTGTGCATATGCCTGTAACTGAACTTGTGTATACATGCATTAGCAGGATAGAAGGACTGTATCAATATATCAAATATTCAATATGTATCAATATTAAAGAATGTATTGTATTGAAAAAATATGTATTGGATAACAAGATTTTCTTGTAATTCTGTGAAAGAGTTGCAAATATCGATCACTTTGTTGAATTAAAATTGATCAATAATGATATAATCATTAAGAAGATAGCACATCTCAGATAGATTTTACAAAAATAAGTAAACAGCTTTATCTAGCATGTACGTTGTTTTCAGAATTATTAAGTTTCAATTTGAAGCATAATTTGTTATGACAGTGCGACAAGAATTTGGAAATGGTCAGGTTTTAAAACAAAATTTTTTTTCTGTATTTAGCTCTACTGGTCAGAGACCAGAAGAGCTTATGCGTCCGGCGTCCGTCCAACTGTCCGTCTGTCTCTCTGTCTGTCTGTAAACAATTTTCCAAAATGCTACTCCTCCTACAGTTTTTGTCTTATTTCAATATATCTTGATACACAAGCAGACTACACTAAGATACATAATTCTGTGTATTGGTTTTTGATTTCGACGAAAGGTGTTGGCATTGTTACTTAAAATAGGAATTTCTGTGAAATTCTTTTCAAAATGCTACTCCTCCTACAGTTTTGGTCTTATTTCAATATAACTTGGCACACAAGTAGACTACACAAAGATACATAATTCTGTGTATCTGTTTTTGATTTCGACAAATAGTGTAGGCGTAGTTACTAAAAATAGAGATTTCTGTGAAATTCTTTCAAAATGCTACTCCTCCTACAGTTTTGGTCCGATTTCATTTTAACTTGGCACACAAGTAGACTACACTAAGACCCCTAATTCTGTGTATCGGTTTTTGATTTCGACAAACGGTGTTTGCGTTGTTACTTAAAATAGAAATTTCTGTGAAATTGTTTCAAAATGCTAGTCCTCCCACAGTTTTGATTTGATTTCAATATAACTTGGCACACAAATAGACTACATGTACACTAAGACACCTAATTCTGTGTATCGGTTTTCGATTTCCACAAACGGTGTTCGCGTTGTTACTAAAAATAGAAATTTCTGTGAAATTCTTTCAAAATCCTAGGATCATTTTTATTTTTATTGCTTTTTTAAATTTTCAAGTCCCAACTGCTACATTTCTATTCCTTTGTTTTAAGTATAAACCAGTACAGCTACAGTCTCGACAGAGACTTCTAGTTTAATAAAATATCACATCAAATCAAATTGTTTTGCTCAATACACAGCCCTACAACATAGGGTAATTGTTCACTTCAGAGTGGGGGATTACTAGTGAACATTGACTCACAAACTTCTTATTTTGATTTATTTATTTTTATAATTAAGGTTTTAATTAATCAGACAGTATTGAAATGTAATGAGTATTTCTTTACTAAAATTCAAGATTGGGAGAACTTGAGGGCATGACAATTTTTTTTACTTTAAAATCCTATTTTATATGCTATATATCTTTGTCCAATGGCATACTGCTATTTTCCCTTGGGCCTAACTAACTTAAACTTCACCCATAAAGTGTTCCTTGAGCCAAGTTTCAAGGTTAATGGTCAAAGGTTATAGCAAATCTGCATATATTTTTTTATTCATGGGTCCAAAAAAGCTTCACTAAAAATGGGGCCCTTTTAGATGATCAATATCTCAGTGATGTGCACCGGAAGATTTTACCAGACTTGTGTCATGCAGTAATCTAGTTTGAATTTATAAAATGAAATATTGATTAGGAACATTGTTAGAAAATTTTTAATAATTGAAAAGGTATCCAAACTGTGAAACAATTAACAAGCAATCCATGTCCATTATTTCCAGATTTCTTCAACCATGGCTACTTTATCTATGAAAAGGATGCATATGTAAAACAATTTTGGGGAAATACCAGCTAAAACTATATTTTTTGTCAGTTTTTCTTGGAGAAATTAAATGCAATGATTTTCATTATTTGATATTTTTTTGGGAATATCTTGGAAAATAATCAATGGGTAAGGTACATTCTCATGCAAGTTACATATGACCTTGAGAGTCAATAATGCTAACATTTATTACTCACAATTTGCAACTTCTATATATATACTACTTGACATATTGTATTTCTAACTCATGTCCTTATCTTATTTTTCTTTCAGAAGATACATCTGAAGTTAATCTCAACATGTTCTTGGCGTTTTGGACTGGGGCTGACACAATCCCTCCACTGGGATTCCACAAAAAACTGGAAATCAAATTTGTGGAAGACCCTGCCCGTTTGCCAGTTGCACATACCTGTGATCTCTCATTGGAAATATCGAGGGGAGAAACCCCTGAGGGGTTTGAAAGAAAAATGAAATTGGCAATAACTTGCGGGGGAGAATTCCATCTTGCTTAAGAAAACTCCTCGTTTTCAATGCTCTATCTACTTTAAGAAAGTTTTCTTTATTTCAGTTTTAAATTCAATAATGGCAGTGATAGTCATATCAAAGAATAAAATTTTATCTTCAGGGAAAGATAATACAAAAAGACATTGACATTTGTATGGCAATACAATTGTATTGATGTATCTGACATGTGGTCTGATATTTGATGTATCTGACATGTGGTCTGATATTTGATGTATCTGACATGTGGTCTGATATTTGATGTATCTGACATGTGGTACTATAAAGCATGCTTTTGATTTTTTTTTTGAAATTCTAGATTGTTGCATCTGTATGCCATATAAGTTTTTTTCAGAGCAGTTTGCCTTCCTTATAATCTAATTTTGCAATTTTCATTAATTAGTTGTTCCAATGATTATGGTGTGCCAATAAACATTGTAATTCTGTTTGTGACTTTTTATTCATACACTTGCTTCAGTTCCATTGATGATTAGTATACAATATTTTCCATGAAAATTGAAAAAAAGTTAAACATTAGATAAAGGCTTATTCTCTGCATGCCCTTGATGTGGATTTTACAACTTTTCAATCAAGTACTTCAAAGCCTCCATGGCCTTCTCAGTGGTGTTTGGGACAGCTCTCCCACCTTCCAAAAGCAAATGATCAAAGTATGCTGCATAATCCTCACAACATCCTCTTGGGCTTGGACTAGGAAATAATCTTTGAAACTCTAGCACATCATAAATATCCACTGGAAATTAATAATCTACTGCACCTGTACATAAAAATAGAAAGTCATAATGTGTTGATATTGTTTTTTATTTTAGCATTGTGAAAAACAACCAAGGTATCAAATTAAAAGGAGAAAATGAATGGTTAAAGATATTTGAAATAAAATTAGTGATTAAACAATTCTATGCTTAAAAGAATACCAAAAATTTCAGGGTGGAAAAACATCATTTCTGGTTTTCCTGGGAGACTTCCATCATCATCATAACGTCTTTGTGCTCTGATGTAATGGTTATTCCATTCTATTTTTATCTGATCAAGTTCTTGTTGGATGATTTTTGTAAAACAGAAGCGAAGGCATTCTCTAAATTGGTAAATTTAAAAAGTCAATATGGAAAAAGAGAGAAAAAAAATTAAATCGGACATTTTTGCTATAAAATTGTGATTGATGAACAAAACGTTTATTTCTCTTATTATTTCTGAAGGAAAAAAAATCCTTATTTTGAATGGTTGGTTTAGTCTTATAGTCCCAAGGGTAACGTGCTGAAATCTCGAAATAGTTTATAAAAGGATAAATCCTTAAAGTTTGAATAAAGAATTTATTTTAATCCTTACATGTGCTCGTTATTTGCTGATGAAAACATCCCTTGGTCTTCCATATCTTTGAACAAGTGTATCCAGAAGGAGATGCCCATCTCTCTCAGTGTTCTCCACCAGCGCTCTATTCTCTTAAAACAATTAAGATCTGTTTGTGAGAAACTAAAGGCAAATTTTTCAAAAGAAGTTGAAACTTAATTTGATTTTAAATATTGGTACACAAAGAAGGTACTGTCACAAGGAATACAAAACTATAAACCACTAGCAATCAACCATTATGTGCAAAGAGGCACATGGTTTTTTTTTTCTAATGATTTAATTAATTGTAAAAAAAAAAAAAAAAACCCTTTATGCCTTCTGGACCCAAAAGTGGAAAAAATGAAATTATTAAAGTATTCAATCCCTAATAGCAACAGCTTCAGTAAAATTAAATAAATTGTAGATTCCCATTTATTACCATTATAATGATGTGATGTGTCTTAATTTATGAACTTGATTTTTTGTAGTTTTTCTCCCTAATTATTTTTAATTCATAAAAAAAATCCATTTTAAAAAACTTTTCTGAAAATGCTTTCAGTTGTCATCTCTTTCTAATGTTTAATGCATCTTTCCACCAGTTTTTAAATATGATATTTGTATAATTTGAGCTCTCATTTGAATAAAAATGCTTTCCCCATAGACTTCAATACAAAATTTGTTAATTGACTGACTACTGCTTAGTTAATGAAATTTTTGAAACTTTAATTCTTGTGGGCAATCCTTTTCTACTACATGTATAAAATGCTTTAATTTAATGTCAGAGTATTATGTACTTAATGGAAATTTAAGCAAAGAGAATTTGGTCCTTTTTGGGATAGAATTCCTTTAACTTATTTTACTTTTAAGGTCAGAAATGCATACCAGTAGGGTGCATTCCTGGGGTGATTTTTCAAATATTAAATAAAAAAATTTAAATGATGCTGCAAAACTTTAAACAGAAGGTTTGTATTCATATGGGTTGAAATGGCACCCATGCCCCATTCCCTTTTTTCCTGATGGCTTTAAATAAATGTGTCATTCAACATTAAGTTTCACTACGAAAAAAAGTGTGTCACCTTAATTTTTATTATTATTGTGTTTTGATTTTGTTTATTTTTTGTGATGTATGAGATTATACAATAATGCCCATGAAACTATAGTAACTTAGAAAAACTCCATGTTCATACCTGGTTAGACATTGATCTTCCTATGATTACACTCTTTTCTCCACTCATGTCATCATTATGGTACCAACGGAAAGATTTTTGAATGTCCTCAATGTATATATTCTCAGTTCCAGCATCAAGTCTCACACACCTTGGAGCACCTATGTATTGGGAAACTCTTATATGTACATGTACTACCATAAACTGAGACAATATTATGTAATTGTTTGGTTTGTGTGTTGTTGTTTTTTTCTTTGTTGTTGTTGATCAATTTTCTTTTTTTTTTCATTACTTTTATTTTATTTCTTTTTTGTTCAAGTAATATTTTTATTTATGCATTTTATTTGTAAGTCATTCTGTATTAATATAAAATAATGTATCAATACAAAAAAATGTATTATACTTAGGAATGTTAATGGTAGAGACTCTATATGAAATTTAAACTGGATTTACAGTTTCTGGAAATAATGTTTATCAATGATTTACAAAAGCCATATACTCAACTATTTATTTCCTCCAGGTATTTCAGGAAATAAGATGCCACGACAGACGGGTCATTGTTTGTTCTTGCAACTTTAAGCCACAGTATTCGTCTTGAAAATCTAAAAGAATATGAATTTGATCATTTACAACTGACTTAATTAATTCTTTTTATATGCAGCTACGACAGAATAAAATCATAAATTTTAAAACTTCATAAATTTGAGCTACCAACGAACACTGTAAAAACTGATACCCATTAACTTACCCACACATTGCACCATGTATAGCGAAGCCAAATGGCTTCAACTTGTCGTAACCATCAACATGTACAAGATAATTTGGTCCATTGTTAAGATACATTCTTCTTGTCAGGCAGTGACTTGCTCTTAGATCAACTCCATCAGGATCGATTATTCTCAACAAACCCAAAACGTCATCCCTGAAACAGTATAATTAAGGAATCACTGTTTTGTTTTGAGAGTATGCCAGGGCATCAACAATAGTGGGAAACATGGGATAATTTGCATAACGGGCGAAGCCCGTTGTTGATGTCCCTGGCATACTTTCAGACTAGACAGTGATTCCTTATATTTCCATTTCATTGTGAAATAAAATTGTAGACTTAGACTTAAAAAATGTAGACTAATTGATTTAAATTACACGAGGACTTCCATGCCAATTTCAATGGTCCCCTCACACTGACGTCAAAGACAAAAGCAACCGCACGAGATTTTCATGCATATTAGGCCTCCTAAGCTTAGCTGCTGACCTATCGACCAGCCTAATTTACATTCCAACAGAATTATCAAAAAATAAATGCCCCTAAATTTCAAATAGTTATCACAGAGAAAAAAAAAACTTAGAAATGGAAATATTATCATATCAACGAATTTAAATCTAAGCATTAAATTTTAACCCCTCTCCCTCGCCCCCATTATGATTTCGTTGATTTTTATTATAGAACTATCTTATTTATGTAAAACACATTATAAAGCAATAGGCACATCATTTGGATTTCGTTTATTAATCTTAATCAGATAATATACCTTCCTATAAAGATGCCATGTTTCTGAAGAAGTCTTCGTTTCTCGCAAACTGTAGAAAAAATTATAATAAATTAAGGAAAAATCTTAAATCAACTTTTTACATTGAACGACACCCGAGAGTCTGTCCACTGAACATCATTTCTTCCTTTGAGTAGAATATATGTGAATCATATTAAAACACATTTGTATATGACACTCAGAGTTTTAAAAAAATGAGCTATCACCAAAATGTAGATGTTACTGACGATTTCCTATAATTTAACAATCTATCGAAAATGATAGAGGTATTACTATACCTGAATAGCCCTAATTGCCCTATCTAAATTGTATCTCCGTCTTCTCAAGTTCAGTCTGGTCATGCGCCTTTTCAAATGTCTACAGCTAAATTATTTAAATAAAATTAATTATTATTTTATTCAGAAACAAGATGTGTTTGTGAAACACTGAGTTCGAAAAAGCTATTCTTAGCATAATGGTTACAGTCAAGGTCACAAGGTCATTGACCTCGGTGTCGTTTGATTGCACTTAATTAGTGAAATAGGCATACCAAATATAAAGTCTCTATCTCCTATGGTTAAAAAAATATACCGAAAGTTCGAAAAATTTGTTCTTAGCATAAAGGTCAAGGTCAAAAGGTCGTGTGTCCTTGATGTCAGTTGAAAGTGCTTATTTAGTGGAGTATGCATTTTAAATATGAAGTCTCTATCTCAATCTGTTCAAAAGTTATGGCGAAGGTTAAAGTAGATAACAAATAGAATAAAAGTAGGTCAAACGTTTGGTCAAGAGGTCAAATTTGATGGTACCCAAAGAAAGGTCATGTCACAAGTAACACACCTATGAATGATCAAAGCCATAGCCCCAACCACTCAATAGTTACGGGCTAGGTTAAAGTTGGGGGACAAACAAACAAACAGACAGACAGACAGGACAAAAACAATATACCCCGATCTTTCGATCCGGGGGCATAGATATTTCTTAATATTGAAGTTATAATTGTCACTAATAACAGCACAGGGGCTTGTCCCGAAATATTTATCTTCTTTTAAAAAAGTTACCCCTACTATATAAAAATACACATATTTTTATATAGTAAGGGTAACTTTTTTAAAAGAAGATAAATACGCAGCACAGTTAAGGTGCGCAATGGAAATATCAACTTAGTTTTGTATTTAAAAATGTATTCGTAATCGGGATGGCGATTATTTTTAGTACATTATTTATATCAGATAATTGTAATTATGATTAATAACTACATATCGAGGACGATTATATTTTATATTTAGACTAGTCACGTGATGCGGCAGTCACGCGATTTTAGCACATTGACTTGAAGTATTGATGTTACATATAAATGTCACTAGTGCAAGGGCATAACCAAGATAAATTTCCAAGTTCAGTATATAAATATTTTCAACACGCATTATAGTTTCTAAAAAGTGCTGCGATCCTGTCTAAATTCTGAAATTTCATTGTTAAAATTATACTTGTATGACCGAATGCTATATTTTTTGCTGGTCAGCGGCATGAAATATTGATATAATTAAATTGTTTTTAAGATTTCATCAGGATCGCAGCACTTTTCAGATACCTGAATAGATCTATAGTTGAAATATAAAAGCTTGCTTTGATCCATAGAGTGTATGCCCTTGCACTAGATCGATTTATTAAGACCCCCCACATTACCCTCCGATGTACTTGCATACAAATATACGGCAGTGTCAATTAAATACGTAATGTACAGTATATATATTAATAAAATAGTGACGAAGACATTAAATTCAAGTTATTGCGCCATAGAATATCTGTAAATAATATTTCATTTAATTAGAGAATGCATATTTTGTTGAGAAAATATTACTTGATCTGTCTCTCACTGCATACAAACTACGTCACGTTGTAAGAAATGACGTCATATTGACAAGGGTATTGCGATCAGTGACTTGTTTATAACTTGTTATGTGGGATTTAACTAACGACAAAACAACACGTTGTAGTAAGTTTTTATGTAGTTTGATGATTTCTTACTGGTTAAATTAGCAGATAAACTCATTTTGTGGTATTTTAAAGAAATGTTGTGTGACGTATATTGTGTATGATGTCATAGTCAAGTTTTCCCGTACAAATTAGGCTCCGCCTCCTTTTTGTAACCTTAACTGTGCTGCGTATTTCGGGACAAGCCCCTGTGATAACAGATATATAAATACAAGTAGAACATGCATTTTCATCAGTCAATATTTGAATGATACTATAACGTGTGTTACTTTATTATTAGCCTTTTCATGTAGTTATCCAGTCATAACTTAGAACATTAAATCATAATTACATTGTATACCTACCTTAATTTCACACCATAATCATTCCAAAGAAAAAATATGATTTCTTTATTATCATATCCATTAAAGAAGTATTCCTGAATCTTCTCATCAACGAACGCCATGTTGTGCAATGACTGCTGGGAATGCCATCCTATCTATATCGTCGATAGAGCGATGGTGCGATGACATGATGTCGATAGCGCGATAAAACAATACCGATGACACGATATAGCATCGCATCATCACTATCGCGCCATCGCATCATCGCTATCGCACCATCGCAGCATCGCTATCGTGTCATCGCGTCATCGCATTATCGCTTCATCGTACCATCGCATCATCGCCATCGCATTATCGCACCATCGCATCATCGTCATCGCGCTATCGCACCATCGCTTCATCGTTATCGCACCATCGCTTCATCGTCATCGCATTATCGCGTCATCGCACCATCGACTCAAACCTCGATGGTGCGATGATGCGATAGTGAACTGCGTGGCCCTATCCGGATTCCATAGTTTTTACATCTCTATATTTAGAAAATAGCATCAACTCGGTGCTCCTTGGGTGACCTCGCACTTTTTAGACGGTGGCTATATATAGCCACAGGCTATTGCTGCTGGTCTGTGTAAACACACGGGGACCCTAGCGGCGATTTTTGCAGAGTCAAAATAATGAAAGTAGACTTATTTCGATGCTTGAAAATAAAATGTACACAGTTAACAAACACTTTCAAGTTATTTCAAAGACATTTCCTGGATGGATACAAAGCCTAATTCCTGATATTTGCCGTTTTCAATATTTCTCGTCTCATGAATATTCATTGAGTTACGCCGAACTAAACTAACTCGTACACCAACCGACTCGTATATTCGTATGCAAACTACAGATGTCAATTCGTACATTTTTTTTTTGTTTTGTTTTTTCATACATGTTCGAAAAATCCGTTTCGTACGCACATTGTGTTTCTTTAAAATTACCAATTAATTGTTGAAAAATATTTGAAGATTTCATTGTATGATTGTTTCATAATCTAACTCCGAAATCAAATACTAGTAATTGCTAAACAACACACGGCTGTTTCTTGAATACTGCTTTGTGTTTTTTACAATAAAAGCTAAAAATAGTTTATTGAAATTTAACAAAATTTGTCTTTTTGTTTGAATTTCTTATATCTGTAAATACAATATTAGTAAAACGAATATATGTATTTTAGGAGAGAAGAAAAAACATCTTAATCAGTTAATAAAATGGTTGTTGGAGGTATATGATGCCTTAAAATTTGCTAAGTTTATTACCATTCTAGTTTTTAAAAATAAGACTTTGTCTGATTATCTCGGACACAAAAACGACTCAACAGATAGAAATTTGTCAAAGCTATAAAAAAAAGGCTATAACGGACAATTTACCCATATATTACATTCCTATTTAGAAACTGTAAGTTACGTGCCTCTAGTAAATTTACCCTTTAAAGGGTGTACAAAAAAGGTACTCAAATACATGTGCATGAAATAATACTATTATTAGGATTTTATGCGATTTAATTGGGCTAAATTTAGGTCAGTCTTCTGGTGTGTCCACAAAGCAGTAAATATGTATTGCGCAATGATTTGCAGTGTTATTGCATAATTATTAGAATATTACGAATGAGAAATACCATCATCGCAAACCACCCATGGCCAAAATGTACGATCCTCTACCATTCTGGAGAAAGCTCCATGCGCATATATGCAGACTCCGATCGTGACTTGAGACGACGGAAAATAGAGACAGAAAATATTTAGTTATTCTTTTTTTCTATCTTTTTTTTTTCGAGCAGTATACGAAGGTTGTCGTGTACAAAGCGTTTTTCTCGAAAAATAGTAGGCGCTGCAAGATGAAATTTTTTGCAAGTATTTATTTATCATATTTTAGTGTATCTGAATTCTTTTGATAAAATATAGACAAAAAATTATTACTTCATTAACATGCTTCAATGTACTTATGATCGAAAAAAAAAAACGGTTTTAAAAATAAAACATGAGTATTGTTTCGAAATAAAAGTATTTAATAGTAATTTGGAAAACATTATCCTATTTTTTATTCACTATCTATTGTGTCGTCTTTTGGAAAATTTAAGGATATTTGCTTAATAATTTATCAAACATCCCAAATGGGAAAGTGGTAAATCCAACACACGAAAAACGGCGGCGTTCGATGACGATACTACGCACTGGAAAGTAGTTCAGTTTTTTCCTCTTTGGTGTACTAGAGAAATGGGAGTTTTCTAAGCGAAATCGTTTTAATCAAATCGAAGGGTAGAACAAACAGCTACAGGAAGAGCGGAAGGCGCTGTCAATGTTGACAGCCAATATATACAAGATTCTTTAGTTGAATGATAGTAAAAATATTGTCCATAACTTAAGTACTAATAATTCATCACAAGGTCCTATTTGTGCGCGAGATTGGTTTCTGGCTGTTATTGAAGAATTAAGGGAAACTCAACTATGTGTATCAATGAAATTCCTTAATTTAAATTGGAATTATCCAACTTGTTTTTAGCAAAGAGGAAACTTGACGCTGCTTTAGACATTTTGACATCATTATCATCCGTGTGTCATACACATTATTTCGAAATTCCTTATACTAACAAGAACTGTTTAATAAAGATTGATAATCAAAGCTTTTGAAATTTTCTTATGATACACATATTAATGTACCTGATAGAATTTGAAGAACAACAAGATTAATTGTATTGGCGGAACTGTCATGGCTTTTATTACAAATTACATTCACAGATAACATGCAACTCGCATGTTCATTCAACAATCAGCAACATGCCACTCGCATGTTCATGGCCTATGCGCCGATCTTACAACTGGTAAGCTTTTGGCAGCATAGCATTCACAAATATTCACATGCAACCCGCATGTTCATTCAACAATCAGCAACATGCCACTCGCATGTTCATGGCCTATGCGCCGATCTTACAACTGGTAAGCTTTTGGCAGCATAGCATTCACAAATATTCAACAAACCATATCATAGCTGGGGGACCTGGAGATAACAGTATTCCACTCAGCAAATGGTTACTTGTCAAAATTGCGTAACACGAAAAAGTCAGGATTATCACCTTCACACAGCATAGTCCATAGCTTTCTTCATCAGCGTATAAGCCACGACGATTTCTAAAATTGTCACTCAGCAGTCAGGATTATCACTTTCTGATTCACAAAGCAAATTAAAAGTCCATAGCTTTCGTCATCAGTGTATAAGCCAAGACGATTTCTGAAATTATCACTCAACAGTCAGGATTATCACATTCACACAGCAAAGTCCATGATAGCCTTCTTCGTAGGTGTACAAGTCATGACAATTTCTGAAATTGAAAGAAAACACACAGCAGAAAAAGGAGCAAAAGGAATTCATTGAAAAGTAAATACATTTAAATACCAGTACTCAAATCAACCCTAGTATTTAAGGGAGGGAAGGGAGGGGATTTCGTCTGCACTGAACAAGACGGGAAGTTGAAAAGACCAAGCGCATGCGCATCAAAGCTCAGGTATTATTGACCCAAGAACCGTAATGATAGAACCGCATAATTCCGGAAAACGATTTGCACTGTGTAGCTATTTATAATCTCAAAAAAGAAAGCAATAAACGTCATTCTCAATAACTGTATTTATCTTTTAGGGATAAATCTGATTATTTCGAAATTCCTTATACTAACAAGAACTGTTTAATAAAGATTGATAATCAAAGCTTTTGAAATTTTCTTATGACACACATATTAATGTACCTGATAGAATTTGAAGAACAACAAGATTAATTGTATTGGCGGAACTGTCATGGCTTTTATTACAAATTACATTCACAGATAACATGCAACTCGCATGTTCATTCAACAATCAGCAACATGCCACTCGCATGTTCATGGCCTATGCGCCCATCTTACAACTGGTAAGCTTTTGGCAGCATAGCATTCACAAATATTCACATGCAACCCGCATGTTCATTCAACAATCAGCAACATGCCACTCGCATGTTCATGGCCTATGCGCCGATCTTACAACAGGTAAGCTTTTGGCAGCATAGCATTCACAAATATTCAACAAACCATATCATAGCTGGGGGACCTGGAGATAACAGTATTCCACTCAGCAAATGGTTACTTGTCAAAATTGCGCCAAGTGGATTTCAAGCATACTGAAATCCAACCGCCAACAAAAGCGGCCGAATTTTGACAAGTCAATATCATTCACAAAGTACACATATACACAAACACATTTTTTTTTTCACATCATCTTCATAAAGCCACAACAGTTCCAAATCCCAAAAGTCATACTCTCATCACTTTGATGGCTAAACAACGCCATTACATTACCAGAGAATAATTGGCTAAGAGCAGCCGACATGGTTCATGACATCACAATATGGCAATGATGTAACCGTCATAATGATATTATTTACATCTAAAATGTAACAACTCAAGTCTGAGATAATGCATCTGACACCCATCTTACCTTTTTGAATTTCTTGTTCAGACATGCCTGCCAAATACATATAAGTAGCACCCCACTTTTAAAAGAGAGTGTTTTGAAAGTTTCTATTTCAATACCTATGTAAAAGACTCATGCATTTCTTTGTACCATTAAAACACTTCCAAGCTGGTGTGCTGATTAAGATATTCATGTACCTAAACATTGATGTGGCAAAATAAAGGGCCATCCCATTAATTGCAAGAAAGCTTCCTATGAACTTAAACACTGTTGACTCAAAGTCCATTTTGCTGATAGTGATAACTAAACCTTTTCCCTTCTGATCTGTTTAAGAAAGACACAAGTTCAATCTAATATTTTCATAACGTAATGTAAATTTAAAACTTTAGAAAGCTGAAGTGCATTTCTTAGGCTCTCATTTTGAACAAAAATTGCAGTGGCAAATTTAGACCCAAAATAATAAATTATAATAAATTATGTTCATATTTTGAATGTGTACCCATTTATAAAACAATCACACTTTTTAATAAAAGATGATATTGTAGAGGACCTATTATGTCCTTTGAACATTTAAATCTTCTTAAATCTGTCAACATTTTTACAGAATGAAAGATTTGTCTGGGTTGTCAGTAAGCCATGAACTT